GACCGGTCCTTCCAAACTTCCGCCTTTCTGCTCTTCACGTGCTCATGTTCAGTCCAGCCTGTCACAGAGAACACACATGGTCACGTGGTCATCACAGTGCCCTCCTGCAGTACCTGCAGGGCCCATTAGGGGGTCACCGCCTGACTTTGAGACCCCATTTCTAGAAAATTAAAAACAAAACCAGTCAAAAAACTGAAAGTACCTGCAGTAATCAGTCAAGGTTAAAAACAGGAAGTGACTTCAGTTTAGTCGTGTCAGTCGATCCTGCGCAGAGAGCGGCTGCATTTGATGAAACAAGAGAAATAAAACGATGGCGGCAGTAATGTTAGCTAGCATCGTGTTCAGACCTGAGGAAGGCATGCACGAACTCGTTGCAGCTGTTTAAGAGAGAAATCCTGAAGGAAACGAGCTCTGTAAACATTGATTTTCAAAGTAAAAGTCCTATTTTCATCTTAAAGCAGTCAGTCTGCTCTCGCATCAGTTTCATAAAGCTGAACTTTGACGTCTGTTTGGACTAAAGTTTGGCGTTCAGTGAAAGGTAGTTCAATAAATAAATGCTTTGAATCAACGACGTTTAGGTTCCCGAATCATCCAGGTCATGGTACTCCAGTGACTGGACAGAGGGCGGGGCTTACGACACCAGCTGTCTGCCATATGTAATCCTTCCCAGGTGCCTCAAACCCCCTCACATCTTGTGTCAGCTGACCTCATTAGGTCACATGATAGGGTGAGGCAAGCCATCACAATGGGTTCACCTGAAACCTCTGCTGATAGTGACCAACACCTGTTTTCACACCTTGGCTCATGTGATGAGGCGCAGCTTGATCCACGTCCCAAAGAGAGGAGTCCCAACAGGGCTTAAATCTGGGACTCTCTGGGATGAAACGTATCCGGTCTTTAAGTCTGACGTCATTAACCACGTCTGGGTCCAAATTCCGCTTCAGGTCCCAAAGTCAAACGAACACGGCATCATTCTTTAATAAAATGATCAGCGTTGCTGCTTTACCAGGTGTAACAATTAAGTTTAACATCCATGAAAACATGATTTATTACATTTAACAGAGTTAGAAGTTAGCAGGAAGTTAGCAGGAAGTTAGCTCGCTAGCTTCCACCTAAACATGATATAGCATGTTCTGACTGAGAGGTTTCTGAAACAATTCAAACGTACAGCTCTGTTATCACTTCCAACATAAATGAAGAGCGGAAACTAAACAGCAGTGACGTTTGTGGGGTTACTGAAGTTGGGCTAGCTGCTGTATAACGATGTGTAGTTACAGTGGAAGGTCTTAAAAACTGAGCTTTTTGGTAATAAAAATAGAAACAGTGGTAATAAAAACTGAGAGAGGCCGACAGTAATCACTGACTGTTTTTAGGGGCTTGTGGAGATTAAATAGAACAACTTACAAAACATTAAAACATGTTAAAAACACAACAGCCTTAATAAACGCAGAGCAGTTTGGACCCACTCCTGGCCGCCGCCCGACTCACATTGCGCCCGACCCCTACGGTGCCTCCTGCAGGTTGTGGGCCTGCAGGAGGATGGGCCCGTGTCCGTTTTTCGGGCTGTGCCCGGCCGGGCCCCATGGACTAAGGCCCAGCCACCAGACCTCGCCCTCGGGCACCCTTCCCGGGCCTGGCTCCAGGGCGGGGCCCCGGTAACCCTGGAACGGTAGACCAAGGAACACCTTGGCATTCTCTCGGATAAGCTGGAGGAGGTGGCTGGGGAGAGGGAGGTCTGGGCTTCTTGGGCTGCTGCCCCTGTGACCCGGCCCCGGATAAGCGGAAGGAAATGGATGGATGGATAGTTTGGACCCGGAAGCAGGATTCATACGTCATAACTTAAAGACTGGATTAAGAAACTCAAAGCAGTCCTGCTGGTTTTCTTTTAAAGCTTTTTAGAATGAAAATCCTCACATGGACATAAACTCAGGTCCTGGTCCTGTGCAGTTAAAGCAGCCACGTCTGAGATTAACCACAAACTTAATGCAGCGTTCAGTGACTGAACACAGACCAAGCTCAGCCTGTGGACCACATGACTGCATCACCATGGTTACATGAGATGGCAGAGCTCTCCATGTCAGTCTGAACGCTGAGATTTTACATCTTAAACTAAATGTTAGGTAAAGGATCCCCTCTGGAACCTGAAGCCACAAATCCCATCAGGTGTTTTCCTGCAACAGCACGAAGCGTGTGCAGGAAACCTTTTCGCCCACTTTCTGAACATGAAAACTGATCCCAGCACACCACAGAGGGACGAGCACACGGACTACAGTAAATCCTCTGAGAGGTCTGAAAAAATCGGAAACTGTCCAGAGGTGCACAACAAGATATTCCTGAACTGGAGACGGGCAAAACTTTTAAGCTCCTCGGAGCGTTTGGATCACTCCTCTGAATTCAGAGAAGCTGTTGTTCAGTGTTATCTGTGCCTCTGCTGGATGGGATGAGCTGAGGCTTTAATGCTGAAGAAGATGAAGCATGTTTAGCACACGGCGGTGCAGAGATGTGTGGAGTAACGAATCATCGCTCGGATCCAAACAGTAACCGAACGGTGTGTTTGCAGTCGGACCTGCTCAGCAGCCGTAGACCTGCCGTCTCTGCGTGCAGCTGTACATCTGCGCAAGCACGCTCCTGCAGACCTTTAAAGGAAAGCAGCAGATCTGCAGCTGCACACGTGCGGGCTCATTGCTAAAGGACCGCAGCTCTTTGTGTGTTCTGCAGGGTTGCGTCTCCTCTTCCTCCTCAGTTTGCCTCACCTGTTTGGACGTATTAACAGCTGTTTGTGTTACCTGTTTCCTCTGAGATTTAGAGGAAGCTGCCCTCTTCTGTCTGTTTACATGTTCACAATCCACCCGTCCTTCTTCGAGCTTTCCCGTCATATTCAGTCTCTGGCCTCACTTTCTCCAAATAAACACACAGAGGCATGAAAAAACACTTATGCACTAAACGTAGACTGAAAGGAATCAAGATTTAAAGGTGCAGTGACCTTCTCATCATTCGCTGTAAACTGAAGCTAATGTTAGCTAATGGTACATGGACGTATATTTCTGCTTTACCTAAGCAGTCAAAGCAGTTTGTGCTGTTTTATCTAACATTTGATCTGCATCTGAAATCAACTCAGGCTTAGTATCCTGCCCAAAGAGATCTGGCCTGCAGTCTGGAGCAGCCTAAAACTGAACCGCCACTCCTCGATTCTCCGTCCCGTGGAGCTCGGCTTGTTGATGGAACCGGACCACCACCCACATCTCCACCAGTTAGCTCCTGGAACATTTCCTGTTTTAAATAGTACCACATGCATGGATGTGTTCCTCGTTCCTGTCATTACAGCTCCTCGATGTGCTCGCTCGTGCTGTTTGTGGCTCAGAGCGGCCCACCCAGTGTGGCATCGCAGCCTTACATGGACACAGTGCGGACTTCAACTTTAACTGCTTATTAATCACAGCTATGGCACACACGCTCTGCAGACGGAGGCCCGTATATGAAGCCTGGCAGGACCCTCGGGGAGCCGCGGCGAGTTGGTGCTGCTGGGATTCGATGAATATTCATGAGTATGCAGAGGCAGGCGCCGCTTTATGGCGGCAGTGTGATGTATTGCTGCTGCAACTGCATGCCGGCGTGTTGCGGTGAAGCAGCCTGGGATCAAGCCTGTACAGTAACGCCACGGTGGACGTGTTAACACACGTGTTGCTTTATCATGGTGGACACTGCCCCACACACACATCCCAGCTCCCTCTATATGTGTGTGTCAGAGCAGACGATGAGGCCTTCTGAGTCCAGGATGTGTCTGGTGGCGTCCTGCGGTCCTTCCTGTTACCTCCACACCACACAGCTCTGTTGGATTTTCAGGACCTGTGTGCTTTAGATTTGTTGGTTTCTGTCATTTCTGTTTTTGTTTTTCTTGTGATTATCTGCTTCAGCTCCTCCTTCCTGCATCCTACATGTATACAGAATCTTGTGTCCTCTGTGTGCGTTTTCATTTCAGTTCAGCTTCAGGCTACGCTCACAAGTATTTTTGAAAACACAGATTTTTCTGTTTGCACCTTTCGTCCACACGTAAACGGCGTTTCCATCACTGAAAACTGAGATTTACGTGTGGACGAGGAAAACAGAGATTTATTCACGCAACCTCAAAGGTGTGCGCCGTTTTTGACGCCACGCTGTGCGCCACGTTATTGTTTACATGAGATTTCTACAATGGTGGATAGAGACAAAATACTGTTGCTGTTAATCTGACTGTCTGCAGTTTTTACACACTTACTGTCATCAGACACAGACAGAGGCGTCAGTGAGCTTTCAACACAGACACAACCCAAACCCCGTCGTTTTTGAATAAATTAACTTTATTTAAAGTTTACATTTATGCATGCTGTTTGCACTTTGTTCATTCCTAAGTTGTGAGTCCAAAATCTGTCTTAAGTTATTAACGTTTGAAATGATGAAGGCACCTGAGAAGTAACACAAAATTATCTGCCTTTCCAGAAAAACACTTAATGTACTTAATGTTTTGTGAGGATACAAAACCCTGTTTAGTGTTTCCCTGCCAGGCTTCTAGACTTCTGATTGGCCAACATTTCATTTTTAGCGTTTACATGTGGACGGGATTTTAAAAAAT